AAAATCAAGATCAAGAATGAATAAGTTCCTCAGACAGTCAGGAAAAGAAAGGATATCCCAATCGGGTATTTCTTATTAAGAAGAGGTCTTAAGAAGCAGGTCTTTAGAAAAAGCTAGAAATATTTCTTCAATTTTTACTTTTTTATTTTTTTGTGGTCTACTTAGACATTTTTAGATATCTCTCTCCCTTTTTTTCAACCTATCCTTTTGTAGTTTCCTGTATTCCAACAGCTTGGTTAGACATACAGCAGTGACAACCTGTTGGCAATGATGCAGTAGACTAGGAGGGTCTTTACCCAAAGACACTGCGGAGTAAAATATTATCCCCAAGGCTGAACTTAAAGGTTTTTATGCTTACGATGAGTTAGTTAGATTAGAATAATAGTTTAGTTATAATATGTATCATGCTGCTCAAATGAAAATGTACTTTTGTTTTCAATTGATTAATAAACTAATGATCTAGCCTGGCTACGGGTATTCAAAAAAAAAATAAATTAATATAATTTCAATTATAATAATTTACTTATATTAAAATAAATATTGTTTACTTTAAATATTAGAGTTAATGAAAATATTTTTAAATTTAAAGAGTTTATATTCAAGTATAAGAAAATTTTATGAAATTATAGATATCATTTAAATGAGATAAAATTATTTAAATCTATTTTATTTTTTAATATAAGAAAAAGAAATAAAAAATAAATGATTTTGTTAAGTGTTTTAAAAAATAAAATTTAGTTAAAGTAGATTTAAAGTGATAAAGAAATTTTAAACAAATTCATTTCATATCAATGATATGATTATTCTTAAAGGTCCTAGGTGTGAATAGAGTTTAACAAATATTGTAATTAAAATATATGGCAATTATTTTAAAATGTTTACTGATCAAATTCGGGTCTACTAAATTTTTATTATAAGTTATAACTTTAGTAAATATTCTATTTGTAATTTTGATAAAATTAAGATTTATAATTTCCATTGATATTAAATTTATAATTTTAATATTAGTTTATAATATTGATTAATATTAATAATTATAGTAAATTAAAATTAAAATTTTAACCAATTTTATGATTTTTTATATAATAATTATATTTTACTCTAAGAAATTGTAGTAATAATCATATCTATAAAATGAAAATTAGTTTATCAAGTATTATAAAATCAATAAAATATAAGTAACAAATTTTTAGATAATAAAAAAGTTTTAATTTATTCAAACTAAAAATTTTACTTTTATTATTTTGATCAAATAAAGTTTAAGATCAAGATTTTACTTTTATCTCAATTAGACAATAAAATCAAATAATATCTAATTTATATTAAAATCCAATTTTTAAATTATTACTAAAATATATTTCTTCAAAGTTGTAAAAGAATATTATAATTTATGAGAATTTTTATTTGATCTAAATCTTCTTATTATTATAAAATAAAAAAATAGTTGAAAATTTTGTTTTTCTGAATAATAAATAATATTTACTAGTAAAATTTTTTTAATTAAATATAACTGCTAGAATATATTATATTGAAATAATATGATTTGATTCTTATTGGGTTATATAAAAATCTGAAGTCCATTATAAGTTATCTTTTTATTACAAATGAATATAGAATTATTGTCTAAAAAAAATTGAATTTAAATATATATATCTCTAAAAGTAAAGATTTTTAATGGATAATAAGTTTTCTTAAATGATATATAAGAAAAGAATTTAAATTAAGAATTGATAAATTCCTCAAATAATTAAAAGAAGAAAAGATATTTCAATAGATTATTTTTTATTGAAAAGAGGTTTTTAAAAAAAAGTCTTTGAAGAAAGTCAAAGAATTTTAATTTCATTTTATATTCATTTTTTGGTAGTGTAATTGTATATTTTGATATATTATTTCTTTTTTTTTCAATCCTTCTCTTTTGTAGTTTCTTATATTTTTATAACTTGACAGGATATACAGAAATGGAAACATGCTACAATGATGTATAAACTAGGAGGATGTTCATTCAAAGTTCATTATAGAGTGATATATTGTTCTTAAGGTCAAATTTAGAGGCTATTATTGCCTACAACAAGTTAATTAGATTGATTTGTAAAAGTTTAACTGTAGTATATATTATGCTACTCTAATAATAATGTACTTCTGTTTTCTATTTATTAATAAACTACAATCTAACTAAAATCAAATTAAAAAAATTTTTTATAATAATCACAACCCAATATATACATTTTATAGTTATTTATTAAAATCACTATTTGATAAATGAAATAATTGTCAGATAAAAATTTTGTGCAAAGATATGCATCACCGCGGCATTTTCGCATTAATTTCTTTTTATCATAAATAGAAAATTCTTTATACACAGAACAGATGGAGTAATTGACGTGACAATATTCGATAAACGAGTTATTTATATATTTTGATTAAATTATTCTTTTTGTTACTCGCATACTTCACGTCTCTGAAAGCTTATTGTGCAATCTTTGAATATTTTTGATTCAAACATATGCCATATTTCTTGTTATTCATATATACTTTGTACGTCAGAATTCCTTCAGGACTAGCCTTTCTGCCCCCAAAATCTATGAAGTTCCACGTACGATTTATGCACCTTGGCCTCAGTTACAAACCTATTAAACAAATTCTCGATCTCATCATCGGTCATTTGATCTGATTGTAAAAATATTTTCAATCTTTCTTTGACGATATTCGACCCCACATCATCCTTGATGTCTCCAGATGAACAGCACAGCAATTCGCGGCATTGGTGATTGATGTTGGTTAGATGACGAGAGCACATTAATTCTTGGATTCGGTCCACCATGTAAGGGTTCACCTTGCAATCTCGCGCACCCTCCTGAACTTTTTTAGGACAAAATTAGAGATTCGGAATAATATTAGTATGGTACAATCATTAACAGAGATTCACTAACTTTTTTCATTTATATTTGTAATAATAGGTCCGGCAGCTTTTATTTCGAGCATAGGCTCCATCAACTGAATTTCGATAAGAGATAAAATTAGAATTCTTTGTAAAATTATAGTATATGCGTGCTCAGCACTTTAATACGTAGTTAATTGAACTTACTTCGATCCAACCGCCAGGTTTGCAAATCCTACAGAGTTCTTTTGTAAAAAAGTTGCGTGAGTCAAAGAGGGATCTTTCTAAAAGACAATAAATATCTTCGTACCTCGTAGTACAATAGTTTCCCATTCGATTTCGGTAAAATATAAATAGAGAAATCTCGCAAATACATAATCAAAAGTGTTATCGTCAAATGGCAACCCCCTGCGGATATCGCATTGTATAAATTCAACATTTTCTGGCTTGATAGTTGGAAATAGCAAATTTAGGTCTACGGCTGTGTATTTGACTTTGGAAAAGTCGGAACTCATCTCGCATGTCCAGGTACCTGGACCGCAGCTTGTTTAATGGTAAGAATGAATAATAAGCAGGAAGTGAAGTCGGATGGTTAAGATAATGGTCGGATAGGGATCAAATTAATTACCCTACATCCAAGACTTCAGTTCCATCAACGTTCAGTATATCTTCAACCGGTGCTGAAAAGTTTCCTTTCCAAGATTCCCGGATAAAGTGGTGTAGCAGTTGCATTCTATCGGCATCACTTTCGCTGATGGCCCTCAAAACCTTAAAAGGTCTTTTCGAATTTTTCTTGAATAATTTGATTATTGGTATGCGCGATGTGATTTGTCCCATATTTACTTTTTTTTTTGTTTTTTGTTTTTTTTTTTTTTTATCGGAGTAGTCCTGCCTATCACACAAATCCTTGCACTTTGAAAAAGATTTTTTATAAGAAAAGTCTTGATGGATTCAAGTTGCCTTTATATAACGAGTTCATTTTATTTATAGTTTTTATCGCAAGTCGGTTGGCAGAGGATACTCCCCGTCGATAATCGTTTTAAATCATTTATTTTAAACTCGTAGCGGAGAAAGCGCAAATTAAATGCAATATGCGTCAATGCGTCAATCAAATCTCTTCTACATGAATTCACCAGAGAAATGTGCTTCTCTATTGGTGCGACGACATAACGTAACGTTGCAATGCTGCTTTAATTACGTAATCTGCAAACGCGCTTTCGATCAACACCTGAATCGTAACAAAATGAGAAGTTAACTTTATTTGACCTAACGCGTTTAATAATACTGTTAGAAGTAATGAAAAGAAAAAAAAAATTTTTTTAAAGTACTGTGCACAGGTACAAATAAAGAACTCCGGTTATAATCTAAAAATGTTTTTAATGGAAACAATATATTGGTCATTATAATAGGATTATATGATAACTTTCAACAGCCAAATGTGTAACAGTTGTGACGCGAAAGATTTCTTTTTTTCGCTCTTTCGTATGTGGAAGTGAGGTGTGGCACGTATGAATTTAAAAGGTACATGTGTACGCGTCTACTTTTATATAAGGTGTGTGGGAAATCCACAATCGAAGTCGTCAATGGTAATTATTGTATTAATGAAACCCGATGACGTGTTTGATAATTTCAGGAGAGGCGCAGCGCGTTGTTATTACGCCCATTTTCATATCCGAGTGTAATTTAAATAATTTCTCGAATTTAGAAATTTAGAATAAATGAATTTACGCAACAAAAACTTAAAATAATACTTGTTTTCAGAGTTAGTTACCTAAAGCAATTTACCTTTTACATCAACTATCTTGTAACTTATAATGCTTCTATTACTAAAACGCATTCAATTTCTCGTAGAAGAGATGAGATTGTTAGTATTTTTGTTATTGTTTAACCACTGATTTGTGACTAATAATTGTAGTTTTGTACAACGGTAATTGATTGCGTCTTTAAATATATAGCTATAATATCGGGAATATGTCGCATATGGTGTGTACATTCAAAGATTGATATTAAAGAAATAAATAATCACGGAGGATCCGAAAAATAAATAAATAAAATTAAGAATAAAATAAAAAAAAACAAATGGGTAATAGTTCTTAGATTCGTACAGTACGTGCTTACAACGCTGAAGAATTTATTTGCCAATATTTTAATTAAATTTTTTGTGGACAATTTTATGTGCGCACAGTACACATATGGGACGTGCGTACGTGACACCAATGCGGCGAGTATTCACAAATTGAGTACTATATATAATTTAGGTAATTCTAAACGGGCTAGGATATCGGGTATTTAGAAAAAACCAAAATTCCGATGAAGAAAAAAACAAGAACTTTAACCGACTTAGTTTAAACATAATATATTTATCTCTCGAGGCATGGTCAAATAAGTAACATCCGACGATTTTTCATTTTAAAATTGCGTACAAATCATGTAACACCTAATGATGATATTCTGTACCAGAATCTCAGTAATTTATCGAGATGAAGATAATTAGTTTAACACATGTATATGCATTAATAATTATCCTTATTTTAAAAAAAAATTTTTTACTGTACATAAAAAAATAATCTATTATGCACACCACATATTTTACTGTATAACACGTATTTTACATATTAGACATTCTATCAATTCTCACTCAATAAGTAAAATAATTTGTATCGATAATTTTTTAAATATCACTATTTTTAATTCGTTAACCAATAGTCATATTGAATAAGTTGTTATTATTATAGGATCATTTAAATACTTAAATTATAAATAGAAAACTTTTTAAAATATTATAAATTGTCAATATTATAAATAATAATGGACTAAATATTATTTCTTACAATCTTTTTATTGCTTTTATTATTTTATTATTTATTGTTTGTAAGTTCATTTGATTTTAATTTTATTTACTTAACCAATTTGTTATTAATATAAAAAATTTTTAAATTTAATTTTAAAAATAATATATTATTTTATAATTTCTTTCTTTTTTTTTTTTTTTTTTTTTTTTTTTTTTATAATACTCTTAGTTAAATTAAACTATAGTTGATTAATCAAAAGTATACAAAAATACTTATTCATTCAAGTAATATAATATATATAGTATTATAATTAAACATTATATTAAATCTAACTAACATATTATAAATATTAAAAATCTTTATTTTAATCTTAAAAACAATATTTTATTCTATAATAAACTTTAAATAAAGATATTCTTAATATATATATCACAGTTGATAGATTATTACTATTATAAATTCTATAAAACTATTAAAATATAGAAACTATAAAAGAGTTAGATTTAAAAAAAATAATGCAAAGTATAAATATTATATAGCCTAATTATAAATATTATAAAAAATAAATAAATAAATAAGTAAAAATTAATAAAAAAAAAAATAATAAACTATTAATAAATAATAAAATAATATATATAAACTAGAGAAAACAAAATTAAAAATACTTTAAAAAAGATAAAAGTTATAAAATTAATAAATACAATTTTTACATTATTAAAAATAAAAATTTAACTCTAATAATGAATTTATATTTTATAAATACAAAAGAATAAAAACAATAATAATTAGTATTTTAAAAAAAACAAAAAAAAATCAAACTTTTATTATTAAAAATATTTATAAAAACTCTTTTTATTAATTTTTTAACTATATATAAAAAAATGTTTACAAAAAGTTTTTCACTCCTTTATTAATAAAGTTTAATGCATTCATTAAAACAACTTGGAGTATAACTTTAAAAATTATTCTTATTCTTTTTTTTTTATTTATAAACTATTTATTCTAAA